CAAACTGGAAGTTGTTCAGTTGTGAATCTGTTAATTTTCGACATGATACTTTGAGCTCATTTCATCGTTTGGCAGCATTTTATCTGTTTCTTTAAGTCGGCAACATCAGTATGACTAACAATTTAAACAAGTTCTAATATTTATTTTGTAGAGTTGTGAACGGTGGAGCTTAATCACTCGTCATATTGCTATTGAGAAAGTTGTGCCACTAGAACCTGCAGTGCAATCGATCCGGAGTTGTTCGTTATTCTTTTCTAATGCTCTGTTGATACAAATCTTTTGCAAATAATTCAATGCCATGTGATCAACGATTCACCAATCAGATGATGGGAATTTATGCAGGTGTTGTATAATGCATGACAGTGAATGGTCCTATGAAATTCCGCTCTCGACAATGAATATGCATGTGGTATAGTAATTCTGGATAGAGTGACCTGACTTTGTATGATTTGGTTGGCTGGCACTAGGAAATAGTCTCCATGGCAACAGCAAATGTTGTCTTAATTTTTTCTCCTGACTTCTTGTGCATAAGTCGATGCCCTATGGTCACAAATGGGTTGGTTGTCGGCAGCCCAAGGTGTGTATTTAGCTTGACCATATCGAGGGTGCGTTCCTTGTTTTACAGCGTTACAGCTGTTATCAGGGACAATACCCCCTCCAACACAATAGGTAAAAGAAATCCATTCTGTCATTATTACGTGTAGCTGCACCTCTTTGACATTGATGTTCCCGGTCGCATCACCTTCAAGGAGTCTGATGTCCTCTCCCCAGGCAATCAACTGGCAGTGATTGACACACGTAAGTGAGCTGCGTGGCAAGGCCAGGCCCCAACCCACTGGCCTTGGCCGGTATGAACACACAAGTCTATGGGAGGTGGCATCAACCAATGACCTCCCTAGACTCGCATGCTGTTTCACGCTCAGCCGTAGCATATGGAACTTAACTGTAGTGCATTGGCTACTCGTTAGCTAGACTAATTCTTGGACGAAATGGCTTCTCAAGTTATTTTAATGTACTGAGTGCATACAGACTAAAGCCTGACTTGACTTGTTCCTTGGGTTTTTAATGTTGAACCTTGCTGTTCTAAAACCCGATGGCTTGTGTACAAGCTCTCTCAAGGCTGAATATTTAGAGTGCTAGTTTCACCCAATCAGAACAGAGCTCCAGAATTCCATTTTGTGTTATTTCCCAGGAACATGTGAATGATGAAAAATTTCTGCTCTCAGACAGCATCAAGGTACATGGAGGAGCTGGTGCTCTAGTAATTCAAGATCACTTTTAGTAAACAGCCCAAGAAGAGTTCGTTTCCAAGCGTACTGACCATTTCTTTCTTTTTTCTCACATCTGACCAACCCTCCAGCCTACTGCAAGGTCGGCATTGGCATATGCTACGATATTAGGTTTGCCGAGTTGGCCCAGATCTACAACGGAAGAGGTTTGTCCTGATCTGTCTCTGCATTGCATCTTTGGAGTGAACGAAGGCTTGTCAGGGTGTCTTTTTGACGCCCCGTAGGTCTTTTTGGGACAAGCCGTTATTCTTATGTGAGAGCACAAAACATTACCAATGTTATAGACACACTGTCTTCTTTTCAGGGTAAATTTTGAAACCCAATTTTCAAAATTTGGCTGAAATCCTGGTTCGATCCATACAAATAAAATGACTATCCAATGTAAAAATGGATGGCGGGGGTTCTTAACCCTTCCTGTCAGGCCAGCAAATCATTTCCCTGTAAGGCAGGGAATAAAGCTTTCATGCCTAATCGTTCCCGTTGTGAAGCTGTGATGCGGTTCTTGAGTTTCACCGTGCTCTCAGAATAATGGCAGGTGTAATGCATTTCCCCTGAAAGTTGTTGGCGCAAAATTTAGTATGAAAGATATAGCTGAGTTTGGAAAGTCGAGTCCGTGTTGTCCAGCTCCTACAATCCAAAAGTGTGCCAGTGAAAACCAAAGAAATAATTATAAGGAGCCCATACAGTTCACTGTCTTCAGCTGTTATTGCTTTTCCAGGGTGTAAATTGTTGGTGTACCCTGGTGCTTTTAACATGACGACAGGCCCTGCCCACTGGGAGCTTTTGCAAAAAGGAAGGTAACAGATGACCGTCAACTGGGAACTTTGCTTTAGAATCAGGATCAAAATCACAGTTGAAATGAGGGCTCTGCTGGATGAAATTAAAATGCATTGGTCAGCAGTGGTGTGTCCAGTGGGGGGGGGCAATTGTCCCCCAACAGATTTTTTTTTTTCAAAAAATATGTCATAGGCGAGTAGGAAAGGAAGTAATCGGTATATTTATTTTTCAAATATTAGCACCAAAACTCTGTGAAAACAACACCAGCAAATATTTTTTCAAATATTAGCACCAAAATGCTAAGAAAACAACACCAGCAAATATTTTTCAAGTATTAGCTTCAAAACTCTATGAAAACAACACCGGCAAATAAAAGCAAGGATGTCGGGACCTTGAGTGAAACTTTTGGTATCTTTTTTTCTCCCCAACATCACGTTGAATGAGCCTGAACCCACGTTCGCTTCTGAATCACCCCCCCCCCCCCATATCAAAAGCTGGATACGCTGCTGATGTATGGGCAAATGAGTCAGTACTGGGCAGCGGTAGAATTAAGTTTATGCTGATATTATAGGAAAGACCATCAAATTCTTCTTGAATTACTGCTCAGTGCACTCCAGATGGACAATTTCTGGACAGGATTTGGCTGTTTACAGTTTGCATTTGCCAGTACATGTATGTTGAAAAAGGAAATGCTCTGAGCAGAGGGTATGTTGAATTTTTAGTTTTGTACTTGTGAAAATGAAAGATGCTGAATGTCTTCCCAGCCAAAAAAGTTTTATTCTCTGATTTTGATAGGAGTTTCTTCAAGTACATGTACATGTATTATACAATATTACTTTTGCTGAAAAAATTGACTCCATTAATTTTTTTATATAATCTTAAAAACAGCCATTGACCATTCTCAACTCACGGCTTTATGTATATGATTGTGAAATGACATGTCCAAACTAAAAAGACACTCGCTCTAATTAATAGGGACTCAGGACTTGGTATTCTTGGGGCTTACTAATCTGACAGGAGTTTTGCATGCACACATTCCCAGGGCTTTGGATAATCAGCTGTACGTGGCCACTGTATCACCGGCTCGGGATGAGTCTGCCTCTTACATAGCCTGGGGACACAGCACTGCCATCAACCCCTGGTAAGTATTCCCAGGAGAGTTCAGGCTGGAATGCACAAATGTATCTAAATTTCACGGTCATATTAAAATCTTGTCAAAGCAGGTTCATTTTCTTGTTATGAAGTGTTCTAATTTTTGTGTTTAAAGATGAAGTCAATTCTTTCTGAAACTTGCCGTGTTTTGATGTTTTTCCCCAACTCGGCAGTGTTTCTCCTCCGAGTTTGGGTTCTTCATTGACAAGCTTATGCCACGACATTTTCTTTTTTTCTCAGAAAACTTGTCATTTCTGATGCAAAATGTTTTTGATCAACACAATTTCCTTGATATTTTGTTTATTTTAGTTACGCACGTTTTTCTGTTTTCTTAAGTAAACCGAGTTATGTGTTACCTACAGGGGTGAAGTTATAGCTAAAGCGGACGCTGACGAGAAAATTGTCTATGCCGACATTGACCCAGGTTACGTGGACGACGTCAGAGCCCAGATTCCCATTGGGTCACAGAGGAGGTCAGATCTGTACGAGGTTAAAGGTTAATCACTGCCATCTCTTGCCATTCTCCAAACCTCGGCTCTGTGTGGGGTGTCTGGGTTAGGAGCTCCATTCATTGTTTGAAGCCAGAGGTGAAGCGTTTCCCCATTTAAAACTCGATGGCACTATATTAGAGGTTGAAAACAGTTCTGTTGCCAGCGAGCAAAAAGTAGCCTAATTATAGACGACCAGTGTTTTCTCAATCATGGAAAATTCTGAAAAGTCTCAAAAAAAGTTGTTGTGGAAGATCAAGGAAAAGTGATGGAAAATTGGGAAAAAGCAGGGTGTCCTGGAGGCCTGTCTTGTCAGAGTCCTGTCAGAGGAAGAGAAGTCATAGATTTCGAGATTTTGATGGGACCCAGCCAACGCTGGAGTCATGGCCCAAAGGTGGCCCAGGGATGGCTGGACCAGGCTGAAAAGGTTGCCCCAAGCCCGGCTTGCCACAGCTGGCCCAACTCTAGCCAGCTTTGGGCCGACTGCTACCGGGACTGGGCTAGGTCGGTTAGTGCGCACCCGGGCCAGATCTCGGCCAGATGTGGTATGTCAGTGGTGGCCCAGAGCTGGCAGCTGGTTGACCCAGAGCTGGTTCATATCATTTCAGCTTAGTTACTTATGAGTGCCAACGATATCTGTGATGAGGCAACAGAATTTGTATATGTTTGGACCCCTAACATTCCTTGCAGAACTCTTATGTCCGCCCAATTCAAACACTATTTCAGTAGCCATTGAGTGCCTTTAAGTAACTTTGGTTTGTTCAGACACTGAGCCCAAGTCATGAAAGGAAGACAATTTGAGACCTAAAATAATGTATACTCTGTAAAATGACAACATAAATGTGGCACAATTTTAGGTGGTGATTCCTACGGTTTCTGGTTATATAGCTCCATTTTGTGAAGGGTAAGGAGGTGATTCCATCCCCTTCCATCTCTTTCTTATCGTCTACTTATGCCTGGACTTGCCCAGCCCTGACCCAAAGCTGGCACCAGCATCTATGGTATATGAAACGGTGCTAGCAGTGGGCCATCATGGTCCGCCAGGGCTGGCACAGCTGAGCCAACCCCTGCCGGATCATCCCAACTCTGGGCCAGGCTTGGGCTGACAGTTTGGTGTTTACTGGTGAACTCTGTAAGCTGAGGTTTAGGAAACAACTCTCATGCATAGGATTACTTTTTTTTTTTTAAACTGAAAATGACCATTCCTAGCAAAATCCAATTGGCAAAATTCCCATTGGTTCCAACTGATCGGTGCCAAAACACAATTGGAAAAATTCCAATTGGTTCCAACTGGCAATTTCAATTGGTTATTTTGGTAAGGGTTGTAACGAGGGAGGAGGGGGTGTACTGGGGTGCATCCTCACCCCTTCCACTTGACTAAAGGTTCTGCTTTCGAGGCAAGAAAAGATTTTGAGCTATAGTAGAATATTTTGTGCCAAGAAAAAAAAATTGCCACGGGCTTTGGTGTTTTTTGCCTTGGTCAACCCCTCTTCAGGAGTTTACTTGTAACAACCCCTAAAACAATTGGTACAACCTCATGAATCTTGCTGTTTTTCAAAACCAAAAAGTAAAAGATCTATGCTTGGTCCACTTTGCAGCTCCCCCCACGACAAGTCCTTGTTACGGGCCACTAATTGTAAACGTTGGTAAAACATGCAAAGAGCCTGTGCATTTGTGGCAAATGGGGCGTTACTTGCCACATGTGCATCTATCTTCATCTTCGAAACTGAAACTGGGGAGATTTTGCACTACCCTCCCCCCCCCACAATTGTTGCAATTAAGGGATTTTAAGGCAGTGAACAAAGTGATAAATTGTGTCCGAGAAATGTGTATGAAAGGTTTCCAGTGTATACCTGTGGATTTAGGCGAGATGTCTTCCTTTAATAATCAGAAGTCATTGCATCTTGCCAGTTTTGGACTATTCATTGTGTAGCTGTTCGATCGTACATTTGTTTGTGCAATTCCTGGAATTGAAAAGGAAACCCACAGTTCTGACAATGAAATCGGACCAACTGTACCCCGATCTTTGCTGCAAATGCAATAAACCATTGTCAAATAAATTTTCCAAAGAGGTCCAAAATGCAATATCTGGAGATTTTACCGACTCCCTTGAAAATGATCTAAAGTTTCAACAGCAGTGTACTATCACCCTGTGGAACAGTAGATATAACCCCAACTAATAAGTTTCAAGTACGTGTACATTTGGTCAGTGTGTTCTATAAATTTCTGTTAGGTCTTTGGTTTTTCTAATAAGGCCCACCATTGCTGCAAAGTTTCTATGTACATGTACAATGTATGTGTCTCATTGAGGTCACTTCATAGGTTATACATATTGTCAGAAGTAATAAATTCCGAAGTGATTAAACTGTTTGTTCATTTATACAATTCGATTGTTTTATTCTTTTGAAAATGTTGGTGGACAAATGTTAGCTTATCCTTACATGTAGATAAAATCTACACCATGACATTTTAATTAACTCCTCAGATTACAAAAGTAATATGCTGTCATTGTACATTACTAAGACTGAATTCAAGAGAAAACGACTATATACGAGCAGTACTTCTTTTCAACTGAACATACTGTAGGTGAAATTATCCAAAATAGTAAGAACAAGTCTTGGTTTATATTCTGTGGGAATGTTGACAGTCTAGGCCATTGTTGATCACTTTTGAATTTTTGTTTTCCTCTCATGCAGTAAAAGGTTTTTAGGTTAACCATTCAAATGCAAGTGCAGGAGTAACTTTCATAAAGACTGCTATTTGGAATCTTTCATTATCTTGTTAAAAAGCCAGAAATTATGAAGAATTATGAGGTTTCAAAAAAACCAGTTAATCAAGTAGGAATTATGTTAATTGTCACCAAAATGCCTTTATATCTGTACAGTATTTTTTCAGCAAATAATTTGTAAATTTCATGTGAACCAATGGATTTTTATGTGTAATGTTTGAAGCAGATTAAAGAAAACAAAATTTAAAAGTGCAGTTGCTTAATAACATCACATCTCTTCATTCATATTTACATTTGCATACATTATAAAATATATTGTATTATATAAAAGCAGATTAAAGAATTTCCACTAAATTAAAATGTTCTCTGCATGCAAATATGATATCTTTCTAATTATATTTTCATGTACATTTGCATATATTCCTAAAATATTTATATTAACATAAATATATCATTCATTTTCATACACTACAGCTGCATTTTTATATCATTTGGGGAAATACTCATTTTGCAAATAAACTGGGGGTGGTAAAATTCAGCCTCGGAGGTGAGGTGGGAGAACTTTCAGTTGTTACAAATGTACTTGTACCGGTACATGCATAGGCAGTTTTTCTGGGTCCTAACTCCCCAATTTCAAGCGCCTGAATTCTAGGCTTACAGGTGATTTTAGCCTCGGAGGTGTGGTGGGAGAACTTTCAGTGGTTACAAATGTACTTGTACCGGTACATGCATAGGCAGTTTTTCTGGGTCCTAACTCCTCAATTTCAAGCGCCTGAATTCTAGGCTTACAGGTGATTTTTGCAGTCAATTGTCTTGTTTTTCAAGACTAACCCTAATTTGTGAAGAAGTTGCCACTTAGTGATGGTGGCGACTTATAGTTGGAATCCTGGTTATTCAACTGATATAAAAAGGTTTTTTGAAAAGTAGCTATGAGAGTTAACATATTCCAAATCCAAACCTAAATCTGTTAGAAGAAAATATAAACATATAAAGGGTGATTTCAGTTACAATTCCTAAAAATGGCTTTGTTATAATTCCTCCATGCATTAAATAGATCACAGCTCTTGCATACGTATGGAGGAATAAAAACTCTGACTACATGTACCAGCGAGTGATATATAAAACATTGGCAAGTTTTGATCTCATCCGAAGATGATAGCTCGGTCAGCATTGGTGGTTACCACGGTGACCAGGACCACGGTGTTGGTGGTGAGGTCTCGGGGCATTCGGGAGTAGGCCCGGGCCATCTGATTGGCTACGCTGTGGTTGGTGGCCCAGATGTGCAGAATCTGCTTGCTCCAGCACTCCAGCGAGTTCCGGGAGGAATTTACGACACCTGCCAATCGAGTGGAAAGATCCAGTCCGGATGTTTTTTCAGTTCGTCTTTTTGCACATGTCTCTTTGTATGAAAGTCATACTTTGCTTGTTTCTATACAAGAAAAGTAAACGTTCATGCATGCTGCTCTGAATTATAACTGAACCCATTTACAAGATCCTTGGGGCAAAAGTACGGTTAACATGGACCTTGTGTTATCAGAGAAAGAAACAACATTTTTCTTTGCTATAAGCAGGATGTCTTAGCAGTGGCTCAAAGACGTGTATCCGGGTTCCACTGTACTATATCACAGTGCACTTTTCCGGAAGCATTTCCTTACTAAACTTCCTTTGAACGCACAGTGTGGAAAAATACAGCAATTCACAGCACTGAACTGCCGTCGTAGTTGCCAACAGTGTTTCGGCCACTGTTGACCTGCTGATTGGCTGCAAAAATTCAACTGTGAATGTTTTCCCACATGGCGTGCCATACATACATGCACAATATTACAAACCAACATCAATGGTTTTAACACCCACACATTTTAAGTGATACCCGTGAGATGTACTTTATTCCACTTGTGGAAAACTGGCAAAAAATGACCAGCAAATGATTGTTTTTTAACCGTTGAAACACTAAATGTACATGTGCAGCAAGGACCACATTAAATTTTAACCCCTTTGCTACGAATGACTGTTACTACCCAACCGTTGTGAGGATTAGTGCATACCACACATACAGTCTATTCACCATGCAGCTGCTGGTTCAATGGGGCCTGCTGCTGGACAAAGCCCTCCATTCAGGGCATACCACAGCCCAGCAGTCACGGTCAAAATAATCCTGCCGCGAAGGGGTTAAAATACTTCACCAAGACGAGTTTTAAGTCGGCCTTTTATGCCAAATTCATATGAATAACCCCCCCCAAAAAAATGAAAATTGAGAACATCTAGGAATCCGAGAAAATCCACTCACCACTCAGCTTTTTCTGCAGCAGTTTCTCGGCATCCTCCAGCTCAAACTCCCCCTTGAACTTCATGGCCCTGGTGACGGACACGCCCAGTCTGGTGCCAAACATTAGACAAGTGTAGTCTGTGATGGATCCGCCTTCCGGGTAATAGACAACCTCCATTTCCGTCTTCAGCAGCTGGGCTCCGAAGCAGCGATGCATAAGCTCAAAGCTGAAATGGCCACATTCAAATCAAAACATTAAAAATAAGGACCAGTTTAAATACGTGGGAGAAAAATCAGAGAGAAGTTGGTAACAATCCTTCAAAAGTGGAAGGAGTTGTAACCTCACTGTGTCTGATCTGAAAAAAATGTAGTCACTCCCCGATGACAGCTCATAGGCTTAACTTGAGGCCTACCCCTCCCCCCATTGGTGAAGGAAAAGAAAAATTGGCAACAGTCCACTTTGGTCAGTGTGTTTACCTTTCACTCCACGAAAATGAGGTAGTTCAGATCCTGGTGTGCCCCCCTCCAGAAAATGAGGCCCCCAATTGCCCCCCTGCAAAGTGCACCCCAGTTACCATGGTTACAGCACTTGTGTGAGTCCCTCACATCATCAATAACCACTTTCAAAGCAGATCATCTCCACAAAGACTTGGTCTGAAAAGACTCATCGTTTCTGTACCTCAGCACCTCCGAGTCCACAGAGTTCCCCCCAGCATTTGGGATGCTACGAATCTTCTGACCGCTCTCAGACAGGTCCATCTCAGTCACATGTCTGAAGGACTCGAACTGGGTCCAAATGAAGCCTCGCTCGTTGATGTTGGTCACATGACGCTGGAACCTGGCGGGAGTGACCAAGAATACAGGAGAAATGCAACCAATCAGTGATGAACATGTCCTCGTAACAAAAACACCAGATGCCTCACACATGTGGAGAGCACACATGGATTCTTGCTACACATCGGTATTTCTTGTTTTCTTATTGCCTCCGCTGAAATGGAACAGGGTTTAATAAAACGATGTTAAAGTACCACATGACCACATGGTTTCTTGCAGATCAGCCACCACTGCAGCAGGCAAGCATCTAGTTACACACGGTAACGATACATCAAATCTTAACAAGACACTGGCATGCAACTTTGACAAAACAAAAAACCAGGAAGCTCCAATATTTCCGACATTTTGTACAGCATTTTTCAATTCCTAACGGGACCAGTGTGAAGTGAAAAACGAGGAAATCAGCTGATCCCAGGAAAAGTTGCATGCCTGTAGACTGTGGGTTAATATCAGTGTAATGGTCACCAGTTGTGGCATGTACAGTTATCAATATTGTGCCCTTCTAGCACTGGCTGGAAGTTTGTAATTTCCCCCAACTTGCCATTTACAAAGTTTGGAAGGCTCGCCCGCTACCTATGTACATGTGAATGTACATGTGAATTTTTACACTTAAATGCTGAGCGCGGTACAGCCATCTTTGTTTACAACAACGGCAAATGCACGTCAAGTAATTCATCATTCATTCAAACAAGTAAATGAATGAATGTTTTTTTACAAATTTGTAGGTCCCTCTAAGCCTCCGTACATTCTGCACACCTAATGCAAAACGTGTTCACATGGTGAAAACTGAGCGCATCCTCGTTTCAACTGTCAAGACCAAAAACTTGGATCTGCCCCATGGTTTTATGGCCTGAGGCCGAGGGTTTACGTGTACATGTGCTTAGGATGACCATTAGAGATGCTGATACGAGTCATTATGAGTGCTGAAAATCAGAACGGTTTTACAGAGGCAGATTTTACCTGAAATGATGATAAAGTCGTACAACAAAGTTGGTTCCTATGTACAGATGCACAGGTGGGGAAGGGTTCCTGGTTTTCCGTGTCCGTCGTCCCTTCGCTCCTTCGTTACGCTTTACATAAAACAACCTGCTGGTATTGTAGGAAGTTTCTGAAAACACAACTAATTGGCGGGCTGGGCTTGTGCGGTTCCCCGTCCCCGCCCTGGGGTTCTGGGGGCCGCCGGGGGTGGTAACTCCCGTAATTTTGCCACCCTTGCTTGGAACAACAAAGAAGATGCTTCATGGGGATGGTGAGGGGGTCGCAGGAACGGGGACGCATCCCTCGGCGGTGGGCCGGCACAACGTCGCGGTTGATCATGTTCAGTTCGTCAGTGCAACTTTCTTTAATGAGAAGACTTTCTCAGCAGATCTGCGGTTGAAAAGAAGACAAAAGGTACTTGATTTACTGGTACAGAAAAAATGGAGAATATTGGGCCATGTTATTTAGCATCAACAAGTGTCAGCAAAGCATTTCATCATGTTAATAATGATTTAATTAACAATCATTGTAGGTGTTGAGACATCAGTGAAAATTAAAGGAGTTTTCAAAATGTAACACACACATTACTTTAAGTATGGCTTTTACTTAAAGAATGGCTTTCGAGAGATTTTCAAGCTATTGACACTCAAGTTGACTCTGGTTATGTCTGTTGACGTTAACCCAAAGAACTGTGGTGGAGTTTGCAGTGGTAGCACGGCAGACAATGAACCCAATAGTTCTGGGGGTAAGAACATGAACAGAATTGTAAAAAGGGCCCTGTGTACACGCCTCCATTGATACTGGTGAAACCTGGCAGAAGTCAAAGTGATAAGTCACCTATGTTCCCTACACATGTATGATGTATCCTAAGCCAGGACCCGGACCCATCAGTATTGACGTGATTGTTGCAGGAGTATGGGCCTACGGTACTGTACATGAACTTGGACACAGCTTCCAAATTCTAATTTATTTTAATTAAATTACTGTACATGCACAAGAATTTAACAATTTAGGTCGATTTAATGAATTCAATTTGTTTTAGCTAAGGCCTAATTACAATTTAAATTAATTTATTTTTGTAATGTTGGTGTGAGGGCTCCTTTGGAAAGCTGTATAACTTGAACTGAAAAAAAAATGTCCTCGTTAACGGTTACAATAAATAAAATAAATGAAAATATGCTACATAATAATAACGATAAGCCATAACACGTTTACTTGTATAAAATGCTTGAGCCCATACGCGCACGCGAGCAGGCACATGATGCAAGGCGCGGCGGGAGAATAAATCTCTAATAACTCACCGTTTTGGCCTCAGAATATCACATCATGATCGCAGTGAATGTCAAATTCATGTACTTTACAAGCCACACTTACACTACATTTATCTTTGGTCGATTTCACAGCAATTGCATCAGACGAGTTTTACCGGTATTATTAATACAAGCTACAAGTCTGCGGTTTTGTGTTGTCATGTTTAAATTTAGATCCCGGAAGCTGCATCAGTTTCTAAAACGAACCATGACGTCACTTTCTAAAGGTCTTTTATGTGCGCATGTGCATAAACGGCCAGGTTAGGCAACGGGCTTTAGCGCCCCATTACAAAATGTCGAAGGGCAAAATTTTAACCGTCAACATCTTCTCTCAGTTCCAAACGCGTCTAAAACGATCCTAGCGATTACTTTCTGATCTAAGAGGGATTTTGGTGTATAAAATAAAGACTTCAAACATTTCTTTTTTTTCCCAATCGCACGAGGTGGACAGAAATCGCAGAGCTCCTTCTGCATGAGCTAAATTTAAACAGCGAACTGTATGTACAGTATTTCACATGTCATTGAGGTTTTCCAAATCTCGACTTTAACACCGCTCGTTGCCCTGCCTGGGTCCTACTCTCTGATTATGAAGTTTGAAGCTCAATAAGAAGGAACGTTTTGCTTCAACAAAACTAAACTGTGTACTATCGTCCCGATGGAGAAGTATTTACATTATTTTCGAATACCAATAAGTGGTTTGCATATCGGCGATGAAGCCTGTTGGCGATGAAGCCTGATTTAAAAATGAGGCTACTCTTTCACACAATGCACACTGAGTGCGTCATTTGGCGCAAGGTTTCTGTTTACCGAACACACTCGTATACCGAAAAGAAGCCTTATTGAATTTCTTTTGACCTCTAGTGTTTGTGACAAAAGCAAAAGTTTAAATCTATATTTCATGCATTCTAAAACCCTTCTAGACCATTAATGATTATTTTGTGGTCTTACTTTTTTCTATCTTTTTAAATGTAGCGTAATGTTTTTGTTTTTTTTTAAATTGACGAATGCCTCATTGTCTTTTACTTATTGTTTGGGACTGTTTGCCTTTTGGCAATAGTGATTAGGTTCACTTCTTTTACTCCTGTCATCTTGTCTGGTGTATTTTCATTTGGTCCAATGTGATGATGACAAATATTAATAATCTATTGTTTCTATACAACGACATTAGAGGCTTTCCCGAAGACAAAAGTGAAAAAAAAACTTGGAGAATCTCAGACAAAAAACGTTCAAAGTTGTGCCCTTGTATATTTTCAAAGGACCCCTTACACTTGTTACGTACCTCATTTATTTATATGCAAATAAATTATAACTAATTAATGAGTTGGTCCAAATTAGGTTTTGTCTTTTTTTCTTCCTCTGAAATCTGAAGTAGCTGCTACTCTCTCAATGGAGGCTTTGCGTGGTAGCAATCTTGCAAGGCAAGTCTTTTGTTCCACATGGAAATAAATGCAAAGAGCATGATTGATTGTGATGTTTTGTCTTAACTAGTTCTGTTTATTTTGCATGTTTACATAAAAAAAAACATTGCTTTCTGTTGGGAGCACCTCGAAAATTACTTGCAATATCTGGCCATCAACTACAAAAACCACAGTACACTGAAGTTCAAGCGACATCCTTTTCTCAACCCGTCGCCGATTATTGCCTGGTACCCAGAATGCATTACCAGGGAAACCAGGGAATCGTTTGGAGGTTGGAAAAATCTTTAGTCCTAGCTCGACGCCATGGCCTTGTCTTATTACTTAGCTGCGTATCGAGGGCATGAATCCAGGGGGAGGTTGGGGTACCGCCCACTTTTTGACAAGGGAGGGTGGACTATTGAATCATACCCGTAACTTTTTGTTGAGAGAAAAAAAAACTTCAGGCTAATTTGTGGGAAAGGAGTTATCAACAACCAAAGTGTAATCATTGGCACTGAAAGAGGGAGAAAAATAACAATTGTAATTACAAGAAAGAAAGCTATCAACACGCTGTTTTGATACAAGAACCAGAGGTGTAAGTCCCAGACATATAAACGCATAGCCTAGATTGACCACCAGTCTTGCGCGCATAACCGGTTGATTTTGAAAAGTATGGGCAAACAATGGACGAAACGATCGATGGCTGCGTTCAGTGCGCACTGCGAGTAAAAATGCAGTGACACTGTATTTGTATACTGTACAGTACATGTAATAGTCTTGTGCTCTCAAAATACGTTCCCTTTTTTCATCTCCTGTACGGCTGTCTCTTAATTAATAATTCTTTCGAAATGTTGCCAAAGCATCGTTTTGAATCTTCATGGGCCGGGTTAAGTAAATAGAGGATTTCTTTCACAATCGACAGACGGCTTCATAGAACTTTTAGGCTGGAATTCTTCAACTGTGCATTAATTTCTTATTCCGAGGAGTGAATTGGCCCATAGTTTCGATTTTAGTCGGGTGCCACGCAGATAACGGAATACTCCTGTAGATCATCTGAATTGGATCGGTGGTCTGTGCGTGTATCTGTGGTGTGAGTGTACTTATTACAAATGTTATGCGCCCCGCCCCCCGTGTTATAATGGTGTCAGCACCCCACCCGCTGTTCCGAAAGAATCCCCCATCAGGCCCCCAATCCTAAGTCACAACTTCACGCCACTGCATACGACTCCGCGGAAGCGCTAACAGTCATGACCACAGACCCGTGTGAAAATGTAAGCCCAGTGCCTAGTTATTCAGCCAGGACTTTGCCCTTATCGTCAGGAAGTAGCCGCAAACCACACGCAAGGATAAAATGTCGTCAGGCCTGAAGCAGCTGGAGGGGGAGAAGTCAAGTAGCTGTGACCCCGTAATAGTATCTGCCGTATGAGCAGAAGCACCCCCTCTACGATTGGCAAGAGCCGTGCTGGGGGGATATTCGTTTTGTTTTTAGCGATCGGATATGACCGTCATGCGTGTATTTCACGGTCGTTCGTGAACCAGCAGTTCCTACCAAAGGAGCTTCAGCTGAAAGGATAACTGCACCCTGTCTTGGTCCGGTTTGGCCGCTCGGGGCTCATTTCCGAGATTATATCTGGGTTAAAATGAATACATATTTTTTTTATAGTTGATGATTATCGAAGTAAACTTGCTGAAGGATTATCAGTGTCAGAATACTGTTGCTATAGTTATGAAAACCCCGTGTAGACGTGTCAAGATCAACAGAAAACAAAACAAAACAAAACAAAACAAAAAAGCCGACAACAAGAAAAGACAACAGGCGTTAACACACCGTCCACTTGCCCCCAATTTACCCTTAACTGGCTTTTCTGTCCTTTTACATGTATATTTAAAATTCAAAAGAGATTTTGGAGATGAAAA